GTTGTGACACGATATTACTTGAAATTGTGGCGAAATGATCACGAATAACCAATGCAGTATGAGATGGTGCATTATCACACTTCTTTGTTCAATAAATTCAGACATAATAACAATCGAAGAATTCACTTTTAGAGCCTCACAAAACGACGCGTATCACATTTCATTTTGACGTGAAATTTACCATAGATGTCACTAATAGTAAAAACAATTTACCGATTCGAAAAACAAGCGAAGTATAAATAAAAAAATTCACCTTTCAATTAGCAGAGTAGTACACCACAAATGTCTATAAAAGTAAATCACTATCAGCTTCTTTCGTTTTACCTCAATTTTCGCAACAAACTCATTAAAAAATTCACGCGTTATTTCCTGAAACGTCTCATTTGACATTATTTCACTGCAAGTTTTGCATTTTTCATCACTAATTTTTTCGTTGTTGTTAACAGTACCAAAAGGCCACCCTGCATCCAAGTTAACACTAAAAAAATATAAATAATGTAAATAAAAAATGTATATTCGTTTATTTCAGCGGTAGTAATAGCTTACCTCGCATACTTGGCGAAAATCTTTCGTAGTATGCCTTTTAACGAAGTATCCACTTCGACACGATCTGTTGTGACTTTTTTTCGCGAGTTATAACGTCGATTTTTGTGCCAACCCCACTGCTCTAGAAAATGTAAATCACTGCAACGTCTACGTGGTTTGGGCTTATTTGATTCGGAATTGTTAGAAGATTTCTCATAATTATCCGCTTCGTCTGGTGAATTTTCCGATACTTTCTTCGTTTGCTCTGCATCACTTGTTGGTGGTGTATTGTTAACGTTGGACTCTGCTGGCGCAACATTCGTTACATTAGTGCTACTCAGTTCTGTATCTGGTACTACTTCCATATTGTCATTGGAATTACTACTGGATGCAGCGCTTATTTCGGTTTGTATACAACTCTCTTGTTGTGGAACATTTTCGATTTTACACGTATTATTGCTATCAGCCAATATATCTTTTAAACATAAAAGCTTAATTAATATTCTGCCATTTTCTTGCATATACTGATATAAGGCCACTATATACTGTCCTAAAGTTACCCAGTTTAACTCTTTAACACAGATCTTTTGCACAATTTCATCAGGCAGTGCAAAGTTTGTGGTATCCGTTTTTGAATCATCGTTGCGGTAGTTGCGTGGGAAAGCACTTTCTTTTGTCCACGTAGAGCGGGGTTTCAAACTCTTCGGTATCGGTCCATACATATCTTCACAAAGCTGCATAGATGATTTAAAAGTATCCGATATTTCATATAGAATTTTGGCAGCGCGTTCATAGGTGGGATCTCTGGTGTATAATTTCAAAGCGTAGCCATATGCGCCGATTATATTGTGATTCTCACATAGCGTGCGTAACATTCCATCAGCGGCACTCCAATGCTGTGCATTGCAACGTAGGCAACGCTCAAAGGCGAACTCGGCCAACTCTATTGCTTTTAGCTTTAGTGCCAGCTGACCAAAACGATGCATGGTGTGTACATCTGTGTCGTCTAATTGTGTAGCCTAAAATGATTATGTTTTACGTTAAATTATTGGCTTGGCATATGTTATAAATTTTGCTACAATTACCATTATGTAATGCTCCAAAGCCAGTTCATTCTCTTCTTTCTCCTCGTATATGAAAGCAATATTTTTATGACAATTGTATCTAATCGTACGTAGTTTTCCATTTGGATCTTCCTCAAGAAGCTAGAAAACGTAATGAAAATAGAAATCGTTTTAATAAATATAAAATGGGAAGAAACGTTAACGCCGATTACACCGAAGCTATAATACACTTCACCAAAATGAGTTTCTATAGGTACAAGTACTTGATTTCGCTCAGTATCTGCAACATTTATTTCTAGATGTTACAAATTTCGTTAAAAAATTAATATACCCCTTAATTAATGTTGCTTAATACGCGATTTAAGATCAAAATAATATTAACTATAGTTTGGGGTTTCACATTGAAAAATTCTGAGTACAAACGACACCTTGATAGCTCAACAAGGGCATTCTCAGAAGAAATACAAGCCCAGTTTGATTATTTAATTTATATCATTGAAAATTTCCACAAAAGTATACGTTGTCCGCGGTATCTCATGTTGCACGAAATATTTTTTTAGATGCACCAATTTACAAACTTTAAAAAGAGTAAACATTTATGCAAACCTCATTGAGCACTTGAGTTTCCAACAGCTGACTTAACAAAGAAAGTGCCGACTTTACATCTCCCTTCCATTTTAAGTTTATTGCCTTTAAATATTCGGCTTCAGCGATTGCTTCCTGCAATATATAGTTTTTAAAAATAAACAAAGCAGTATTAATAATAAACAAACAATCAAAGAATGTTACCTGCGCTTCCTTTGTAACCACAATTTGATCTTCGGGCTCTTCATTGCATTCTTCGTTAAGTGCAACTATTCTAATCATTACTTTATCTTTTGTTACTCTGCCAGAGCAAATATATTGACCTATATCAGTCGATTTGCGTTATTTAATACGAATCGCAAACAATATTTATAAAACGAAACTTTCGCATATTAGTGATGTGAAGATATCAAAGTTTTTAACCGGCATTAAAGATGATAGCGCAAACGATAAATTTGTATCAAACTATGGATTTAAAATTTATATTAAATTAGTAAACAAAAATTAACATTTTTTAATGCTATTCAAAAGTTTTAGGTTGATGAAGTGAAGTGCATTTCATATCATATTCATAAAAAAGGAAATTATAATTATGTAAAAAAGCTGTTACTTTATATCACTCTGTTATAGTTAGTTTTTCCAAAGATCGTAATATTTTTTCAGATATCGTAAAAAAAAAATACACATACGTTCTCTGGCATATACCCTACAAGAACAATAACAATAATTTTCCGGTAATTTGGAGGTTATAGACAGAGAACTTATAACAGTGAGAATAATTACATCGAAGGAATTCACTTCGTGAAATATTAACTTTGTTTAAATTGTTAGCAGGAATGAGTTTGTAAAATATACATTAACATTATAATGTCAACATGTTCTCCAGAGATTATTGTTAAGCAAATGTTATGTCAAACAAAAAATTAATAAAAATATATAAAAATTATCAACCTGGGACTATTGTTGAGCAAATGTTATGGCAGATTTCCAAATTTCTTTTAGTTATTCATATATATATCAAGCTAAAAAATAAATATTTATAGTAATTCAAAAGAAATTTATAATTTCAAATTCTTTAGTTCTTTAAACAAAAGTTAGGGTTTATAATTAATAGCCTGGCAGTGCTGATCCGTTTTACGTCACCCTGTGTTATTCATTCTCTCCATATAATAATTAATTAAGCGAGTTTATTATTCATACTGAATTGGCGACAAGCATTGTCATTTACTATTTGCCGAATCATTGTAGAATTTTCCTGTATTAACAAAAATGGTAAGAAAGTACTTGAAAATAGTGTAAATTTAAATAAGATTTAATTTTGTTTACAGTTTCGAAACCAATATGACAGTGATGTTACTGTGTGGAGTCCGCAGGGACGACTACATCAAGTAGAATATGCCATGGAGGCAGTAAAACTTGGTTCGGCTACGGTTGGATTGAAAAACTCAGACTATGCTGTGTTGGTTGCTTTGCGTCGTGCCGCTTCTGAGCTTTCTTCATCCCAGCGTAAAATTATACCAATTGATGATCATTTGGGCATATCCATAGCTGGCATTACAGCTGATGCACGCGTACTTAGTAATTATTTACGTACGGAATGTTTAAATTACAAGTATGCTTATGGTGCCAGATATCCGGTATCACGTCTCATTTCGAATCTTGGCAACAAAATGCAAGTAACAACACAACGTTATGATCGTCGTCCATATGGTGTGGGCCTTTTAGTAGCCGGCTATGACGAAAGAGGTCCACATATATTCCAAGTAGATCCTTCAGCAAACTTTTTCAATTGTAAGGCGATGTCGATTGGATCGCGGTCACAAAGTGCGCGCACATATTTGGAGCGTAACATAAGTTCGAAAGGTCGTGATTTCGTTTGCACAAAAGACGAATTAATTTGTCACGGCATACAAGCTATACGAGGTTCACTGCCCAATGACGAAGACAGCGAGTCGCCATTACTGGTAAATTTCACAATATAAATTTGTTGTATAAAGCGTGTGATTAATTTTTTTTATTATTTGTTTATTAATTTAGAATATCTCAATTGCAATTGTGGGCAAAGATCAACCATTTAAGATTTTGGATGACGTTGAAAGCAAGAAATATTTAGATATGGCGAAAAAACTGCCAGCACCACCAGCACCAAGCGATGATGTACCATCTACGGGTGGTGATGATGATGAAGATAAACCGGGCGATGCGCCACCAGATCCACAAGTGCTTGTAGGAACAATGGAGCGCTAAAACATAATTGTACATGTTGTCGGTGCATTTCAGTTAAATATATTAATAATAAAAGAAAATTTAATTTTGTGGAATGCTGTAAGCTCTGTAATTTTTAAATGTCCGGAAGATGTGTGTTTCATTTAAAGCGTTACCATTCAAAAGGGCTAAAATTGCGGTAATGATTAATTTAGTGTTTCTGCCTGCGTATTTTACGGACGAAAAAAGTCGTAGACGAACGAAACTATCCGCGACATTTGATTTTTATATATTCCAAAGTGAGAAGTTTCCGGAATTTGAATGATTATATCTTGATTGAGACGTAAATTCATGAAAGAATGTTATTGTAGTGTAAGGGCTATTAATATACATACATAGGTATGTATGTTGTGGAATGGTGAACATTTCTCAAAACTGTTTTGTAAAATCTGCTGAGGTGACAACTCAGCTGTTAAGTTATTTTTAGAGATTTATCAAAACCTGCTATTTTTTTATAAAGAAAATATATGTGCAAATTAATTAATGAACTTAAGTATTTATAAGTGAAATTTTTCTTTTCAAATAATAAAAAGTAAAACATTTGTGCATTCAAAACATAAGTCATTATATTGTCGAGAACAATTCACGCTTAAACTAAAAAGTCTACAAATAACATGATTAGGACAAAAAATAATAAAACCATACAAAAAATAAGGGTAAATGCTAAGTTCTACAAATACATTCACATTTTAATACAAAGTGAGGTGCATTACTAAAAATATTTATTATAAAAACTAAAAGTCTACATTGTCATGAGATTTGTTTAATATTAATTAAGTTTCCATTCGATTCGATTTTTTGCGTTCCATTTGCAATGGCTACAGGTTTCTGCCAATCCGCTGTTTTTGAATATACTGTCGCTTCAATTAGTCTATACGTCTTTCTCAATTCCGAATTTTGGCTTGACTCCAACAGATAATGATACCAGTCCAATGTATTAATTGTCGGACCTTCGCCACCCAAATCGGGTGGTAAAATATCTTTGCTGACCATATTATGTAAGCTAGTCAAATTGGTGCCATGTACTAGTAGGCGTCTCTTGATTTTATCATTTAAGAATGGCTTTATTACTCTTAACATCACATCCACATACCAGGGTTGGCCAATGAAATGTATGCCCTTAAATTTTGCGGGCAAACAATCCTGTAAAGAATCCGATATAGAAGAATTTTTATTAGCAGAGTTTAATTGATCAAAAAAGTTTGCACTAATATAATAAATTAACAATTTTATGATTAATATTAGTTAAAAAGTCAACTAATGATAAAGTAGAGTTTTCTGTTATCCTTTTCTAAATTCATCACCGTGTGTACATAGTATTTTGACAGTTTTTTGTGAAAAAGGAACAAACGTTAACTTCGGCTGGGCCGAATATGCCGTTCTGGTCAAATAAAAGAGATTTCTATAGAGGAACTTGATTTTGATGGATCAATATGAGAGCTATATTCTAAAGTGGTCCGATTTGAACAATATATGCGGCAGTCCTCACTTCGGTGGTAAGGGCCCAGGAAGCGCGCAGTTTCGCCTGGGTCGGATTATATTTAGAAGGATGTTAGATGTGGCGTTCGTTGGGCATACAAACAAGTGGTTAGTGTCGTGCGGGGACTCATTGCACGCTGGACATATATTTGATTTGTCGAGATCGATTCTGGATAAGTAGGCGTTTAACCTGGTGGTTTGAGGCAGCCGGTTTCTGCGAAAATATCCCAGTAAGAACTGCTTGGATGTTCATTATGTTTTTTATGTTCATTATGTTTCTTGACCGGAAGATTCGCCACGTAAATGTTCAACATGGCAGCTATATCCGATAGTGGCCCGATATCGACGATTTCGATAAGTGAGATTCTTCTTGGCAGAAAAGTGCAAAAAACTAGTTCGCCTATTGACATCATTCCTTTGTAGTCAACATAAATATTTATTAAACTTTTTCCAGTAAAGAGAGGCTTGGGAGTCATTTGATCCGGCTATACTATAAAAACGGCATGTATAGAATTAGTTCTCACATGACACAACCCTCTTTTTTCATTCCAACTCAAACTAGACCCTTTTCATTCAGTTCAAACCGGTCAAAATAGCCCACTTTTCTCCTACCCGTCGTTTAATTAATAATAATTCTATTCAACACTCATCTGGTCATTCCAACCCAATATATCAAAACACAAAAAATTAAGCCAATATTGTTTTAAGTTTATAATTTTTATTATATTATATTTTATTGTAAGAAATTTCAATAACAGGAAAACGTGAATGAGGTCATATTTTTATTTAACCCGTACCGTTTTACTTAACTCGTAAAATGGAGAAGTAACTTTTTATTCATGACGCAATAGCCCGAAAAAAGTAATAGCGTCTGATCAAATTTGACCGGGACTGACAACTTTGATTCATGAAAACTAAATTTTCACTCTAAAATGGGCACTTTTTGAGCAACGGTACATAATTGAAAAAAAAAAAAAATGTTCTATGTAAGAGTCATGGCTTTTTTTTTTAACGAAAAGCGATTATCTTCCTGTTCTTTTGATGAGGCGTGTTTTTTACGTGGCAGGCTTATGGAATGGAGGGAACACGTCTTCAGTCCGCGGGATGGCAGTGAAAGCAGAACATCAGGAGATGGTGAACCCGATTCCCCAATCGATGACGATGGTTTGCTCGACCATCAAGAAGTTCGAATAGCAATTATCCGTCTGGAGAACAATCAAGCGACTGGGACCGATGTATTGTCGGCTGATCTATTCAAATACGGCGGCGAAGAACTGATAAGGAGTAGAATATAGTCAGACGAAAGCATGCCCGACGATTGGAATTTAAGTGTGCTCTGCCCAATCTACAAAAAAAGGGGGACCTAGCAATCTGCGCCAACTGATTGTACCATATCAGTGTCGCTTTAGGCCTGGAAATCAACAACTGACCAGATAATCATCATGCGCCAAACCTTTGGAAAAGACCCGTGAAAACATGATCGACGCACACCACCTCTTCGTCGATTTCAAAGCTGCTGTTGACAACGTCAATGCGTTGATCAGCGCCCTGAGAATGCCAAGCATTTTCAGTACCAATTGGCAGTGTGGAATGGACACACTAGCCACCTTGGATCTTCCCGCATTTGGGTTTTAACCACAACCACCACGGCTGTTGACAGCACGAAAAGGAGATGCCTTTGTGACGCTATGCCTGAATTTGGTATCCCCATAAAACTAATATGGCTGTGATATTGATATCATTGGCCGCAGAAACAGCGCAGTTAGTTTTAATTTCTCCAGACTGAATAAGGAAGCGGAGCAAATGGGCCATCAAACAAACAGTTGTCGCACTCCCACAACACTGTTGACAGTCTTAACTTCGAAGTTGTAGATAATATCGAATAACTTCATTAGCATTAACACCAACAACAACGTCAGCATCGAAATGCGACGCACAATTAACTTTTGCCAACAAGTCATACTTCGGACTGAGTAGGCAATTGAGAAGTAAAGTCCCTCATTATTCCCGTCCTTATATACATATGGTGCAGAGGCATGGATGATGACAATAACTGATAAGGCGGCATTACAAGTTTTCGAGAGAAAGGTTGTACGGAAGATTTATAGTTCTTTGCGCATAGGTAAGAGGGAATACCGTAGTTGAAGTCATTGACATTGTTTAGCGAATTAAGAGACAGCGACTACGCTGGCTAAGCCATATCGCCTGCATGGATGAAAACACTTCAGCTTTGAGAGTAATCGGCGCGTAAAAAGGAGGACCGCCATTCCGTTTGAAGGACCAGGTGCAGAAGAACCTAGCTACATTTGATATCTCCGATTGGCGCCAAACAGCAAAAAGGAAGAACGACTGGCGGGCTGCTGTAAACTCGGCTATAATCGCGTAAGCAGTGTCTACGCAAATAAAAAAGAAGAAGTAAATCGAGTCGCTCTACTCTTTACTCCGTTTATGATTTGGTTTCCAAATATACCTGAAGTCTCTATTATAAGACTGTATAGTTTTTGAGAAGTATGAGTCATCAGAATGAGGTGTGAATTTTTGCAATAACTGTCTGCAATAGATTATTATTTAATTCGCCAAAATATAAAGCAATGTTTGCATGTATTTGTATGTGTGGATGTATGTGTATACAAACAGAGTTATACGCAAATACCTTTCTGCCATAAAGTATGAAAATTCATCTGCGTTGCAAAGATCAAACCGTAGTAATAAACAGATTTTTTGAAATATTTACCTAGTAGCTGGTAGGCAAATGATTATATGTACATACATATATAAATGTATATGTACATACCTACATGCATATATACACAAATGCATGTGCATATGTTTTATAGATATGATATTTATTTATCAAGCACTGTTTGTATTATATTATATTTTTGTTTGAATTCGTATATCGTAAAAATTTAAAAACGTTGCCGCCCAGTCATAACCACGGGTGTTCCTGTCTATATACGTAAGTATATGTAGTGTGTATGTATGTATGCACTATGTGTACATAACGATTATTCGAAGCAGCCGTAAATTTAAGAAGGAAAACAACGAAATTTGCTGAAAAATGTTTGTTATGATAAGACTTTGCGGCATAAATGACTTCTTTTTCTGGATTTTGGACCAAACTATTTTTTTGTTTCGAGACATTGAGTCATAAGTAGAAGAGCAATTATTTGCGTTTTTTGAAGTATGCCTTCTAAATCTTAATATATTTGCGTTAGATGTACGACGTTAAGCTTATTTTAAACATCACTGTTAACAAACAAGTAAGAAGGCCCAAGTTCGGTTGCAACCGAACATTTTATACACTTGCAACTTGCAGGAATCAAAACGAACAAAATACCTTGAGGTGCAAAACGTCAACCAGAGGATCGGAATCCAAGCAAATTTACATACATATACATATACTCTATATAACACGAACACTGATTGACATATTCGGCATAAGATTTGTTAAAAAAAAAACGAAAATCATTATACGTGGTATTTGGGAGTTAAGAGTAGTATCGACTCGATTTTATCTAATAACTTTTATCATGCCACATATTAAAAAAAAAAAGTTCACTGGGTTTCATTAAGTTATCTCACATAGTACAATCACCATTCGAATGGAGTAAAGTCAGCCGAATGTTCGAAAAGCCTGAGTTATATGGGGGCTAGGTCAAATTTTCACCCGATTTTTTATATTTTAGGCACAAACATACACTGTTATAGGTAAAACCTGTTCTGTAATTTCTTTTGAGATAACTCATATATTGGCTGATATGTGCGGTATAAAGTAACCCGCAAGTTCGAAAGACTTTATAATAGGTATATGGAGCTGAAGGAAGTATTGATCCATTTCAATAAATTTCTGATATACAGAGACATTATTATCAGGATAAAATTCTTTCTGAATTTTAATTGTATATCCGATATTGGCGCAGTTACCGCTTACGCGGTTATGGCCGAGTTTACAACAGCGCGCCAGTCGTTCTTATTTCTCGCTGTTTGTCACCAATTTGAGAATCCAAATGTAGCCAGGTCCTTCTCCATCTGATCTTTTCAACGGAGTGGAGATCTTCCTCATCTTCTGCTTCTCCCAGGCGGGTACTGTGTCGAATACTCTCGAAGCTGGTGTGCTTTCATTCATTTGGAGTTCATAACTTGGTCGCTGTCTCTTAATTCGCTGAACTATGTCAATGTCGTGGTATATTTCGTACAGCTCATCGTTCCATCACCATAAAACGGTAAATTGGAAGTACACAAAATTCTTATTGACAGATCGAGAAGACTGCAGGAAATGTTTAGAGCGGCACCACGGAAACAATGGAATGTCACTTGTGCACTTAGCCCGCAATTGTATTTTCATAATAATTAATTTTTTTTATCAACACATTTCAAAAAAATATTTATCATTTACTCACCTGCAAACATTCAATCATCAATTTAAGCGTTTTAGCTGATATATGCTTCGATTGCTTATATGTGAAGTTCGTCCAATCCACAATCACCACAAATCCCAATGCCTGATTCTCCACATTCTCCAGCAATTTGTCCAATGACAGTAGCAACGCACGGAACACATCCTCCATGCTATATTTAGTTGTATCCCAATTGGCAGCGGCGAACGTTATAACTTTACGCCCCTTACGATCACGCTGCTTCAATACGGATGGATTGCCATCTCTCAAGGTAGCTTGTATGTTTTCATCGAAAATACTGAGTTTTTGTAAAATATGCTTATTATTCTCTTTGAATAAAAAATATTTGATGAGTAAGTCTAAAGCTGCTACGCAATCGAATTTCTTTGCGTATAGGAAACGATTTAAGAAATTTGTATCCATACAACAAGATTTATCGCGTAACGCCAAATTAACACTGGCACCGATCATGTCGCGAAATAAGTCCAGCTTTCTATGTCTGTCGCGTGCATCGCTAGTGCCAAAGATCTCCTGCCGGCTGTCGATGCTCCGTGGAAGGCGGTGGTTAAGATTCTTCTGTATGTGTATCTCGATAAACTCGGTCATTTTGTTATCTAAAATCAATGAAATAGAATTTAAAACAATAACTGATATTTCTCATATGATAGCTATAGTTTACTTTTGTAGTAGAAATTTTCTGTCGACTGTAATGCATAATTCTTTCTAATAATATTCTTCGGCCTAGACGGTCTTTCAGTGATTTTTTTGTAGGCTTTATCAAGACATGGTACATAAGATAAGAGATGGTACATTTCCCTAAGAAACTTAAGGAAATCAATTCTGAGAAGCAATTTTTTATCGTTATCTCTAAGCAGGATTGGGTTTGCTCCGCTTTCCGATTATGAGAAAGCAATCCAAGGCTGTTTTCTTCTTTCTGCTCTCTCACTTTAGCTCTCCTTCAAAAGGAGTTTTTTTGGCCGCGCAGAGGATACTTGGTCTTAGTCATATGTAAAAGGATAGTTTATGTCCCAAGAGAATGGGGCTCAAAGAACTTTCCTCACTTGTGTGAACTATTACATACGGCTTCAACAACTTGCCAACAGTTGCTATTTCGGATTGCGTAAGCAATTGATAAGTAAAAACCTCTCTAGACGAACAAAGACCAAACTCTACAAGTCACTCATCATCCCCGTCTTGCTAAATGGTGCAGTACATGCCTCTGCCTCTTGGATGACAACACCTGATGAGTTTTAGAGAGAAAGGTTCTGCGGAAAATTTGTGATCCCTAGCGCATTGCAATGGCGAATACCGCGGTCGAATTAAGGATGAGCTGTATATCTCGACGACAATGACGTAGTTCAGTGAATTAAGAGGCAGAGGCTATGCTGGTTAGGTCATGGTTATCGAATGAATGAAAACAATCTAGCTCTGAGAGTATGCCATGCAGTACTCTCCGGCGGAAGCAGAAAAAGAGGAAGATCTTCACTACGTTGGAAAGACCTGGTGGAGAAGCCGCTTTTTATTTGACAAGATCTTTTCACAAAATTTAGCATGGATTGTATTTCATATTAGAATATTATAGCATAAAATACAACAGCCATAAAAAGGGACCAATTAAAATCAAGATAAAAAAGTGATAACGATGGACTACTACGAGAATTTCTCTGCTACTTAGTATCATATCCGATTTTCAAGGTTCCTACTATCACTCGCTCATAGACTCATAGCAGCACAATGCAGAATATACAGGTATATATACACTCTATGTACATGCATATGTCCTACTTCATATCGGTAGGTTAGATAAAATTGAACAACTATGAGTACTATGTATGTTATGAACGAGGCATTGAAATTGGTGCGGAAGTTGTTCGATGTCTTTGCCGGTCATGCTGCTTTGACGGTGTCATTCTTATCTGTGTTTACTATTTAGTCACTGTCATGTCAAATTGTTAGAATTTTATTTAAAAAAGACAGTGATTTTGTTAGACGTCACAAGTATACCACGTGACAATGCATCCACAATGCAAATTAGTCAAGGACAGGTGACATCATTGGCGCATACTTTTCTTTTTTTTCAGTACTGGTGAGGTTCTCATGGTTATTATGAACGAAATGATCTGACAACAACGTAATAATTATGGAACTTATGTAAGGCGTGGGTCTTTAAGCCAATGTTAGGTGGGTCAAAGCTATAGAGTTCCCGCGGATGGAAAGTTTATTTTGGTTACAGTTTGGCGGGCACTTTGTTCCCGTGACATGTTTAAGAATATTTGTATACATAAGTGAAGCTTCGCTATCAATTTATAATGATGCCCGATAAGTGATATGCCTAAAGTAGCCTCTTGAATTGGGGTAATAAACTTGTCAAAATTACACTGAGGGGCTTGATTTTGCCAAACCAGATCTAGTACTTGATACCATTATGAAAATACATTCGAAATTAATCAATTTGTTTAGCCGAATGCATATCCCGGAGGCTCACACGGATAATAGATTTTGTTTCTAGTTGGTGGGGTATGGGTACATTTGATATATATACTTGAAACTTCGCTATCAATATATAAGAGAAATGATGTGTTTAAAGTTGCCTCTTGAGTTGCCGTGATAAGTTGTAATGACTCTTCAAAATCACACTTGGAGGATTATTTTGCTAAACAAGATCTACTATTTGATACCATAATGAAATACTCTCGGCATTAATCTATTTATTAACAATTCACTTGACATAATTAACACCCTCGGTTAATTTATTACTCGGTCGAGACATACATACATATGTATATTCTTTAGAAAAGATTTACAAGCAAAGTACAAGTCGGTTATATATTGTTGAAGGAAAATAATAAATTTTATTTTTAACAAAATTTTTCTTTTCACTTTTTTTTAACATCTTAATTGGAGTTATTAAAGTAGATTTAGTATGAAGTATATTGAATTTATTGTGAAATTGACACAATTTTGACAGATCACGCGTGAGGCGTGTCAAGCTGCCATGTTAATTTTGCTCAGTATTGTTTGGCATTTCATAATGGAGAGACTTACGAGCGAACAACGTTTACAAATCGTTCAACTTTATTACGAAAATTCATGTTCTGTAAATATGTGTTTCGCTCGCTTCGCTCAACTTATGGTCAACATAATTGCCCCAATGAGCGTACTATTCGCAAATCCATCACCGGCCTTGAGACCCAGCATACATTATTGGATAATATTCAATCGAATGCATGTCCAGCACGCAGGGCTGAAAATACAGTGTACACGAAGGCCGTGAAGAATCGATTCGGTGACGAACCAACTTATGGAACGACTTGGCGCATTCTACGTCGAAAATTAATTGTTAATTGAAAGCGTACAGAATTCAGCTTGTACAAGAATTGAAGCCGCTCGACCTTCTCAAGTGACTTCCCTTTGCTTTACGTGCTCTTGAAAAGTTCCAAGACGATCTGACGTTTTCGAGCAAAATTTTATTCAGCGATGAGGCCCATTTTTGGCTCAATAGGGATGTAAACAAGCAACACTGCCACATTTGGGACGAAGAGTAACCTGAAGACATTCAAGAGCTGCTATAACGGTTTGGTCTGGCTGGGGTGGTTATTTCTTCAAAAATGATGCCGGTGAGAATGTAACAGTCAATGGCGATCGTTATCGCGCGGAAAAAAGATATCTTCACGAAATTTGGCATAGGTTTTGGCACAATTTAACGTTATAATTTCCGAACATATTGTGTAGATCGGACCACTATAGCATATAGCTGTCATACAAACTGACAGATCAAAATCAAATTCTTGTACGGATAACTTTTTCATTTGATAAGATATCTTCGCGAAATTTGGCACAGCTTATCATCCAAAACAGCGGTATAATCTCCAAACAAATTGTTCAGATCGAACCACTTTTGCAGATAGCTGCGATACAAACTGACAGATCAAAATCAAATTCTTGTATAGATAACTTTTTTATTTGATAAGATATCTTCGCGAAATTTGGCATAGATTTCTATCAAAAACAACTCTACATTCTCGGAAGAAATTGTAAAATTCGGAACACTATAACATATACATAGCTGCCATATAAACTGACCGTTCAAAATCAAGTTCTTGTAAGAATTTGTTTATTTGTTGAGTTCTCTTCACGAAATTTGGCTTAGATTTTAGCACAAGTTACTTTTACGATCTCTAAACAAATTGTTCAGATCGGGCCGCTATATCACATTGCTGTCATACAAACTAACCACACAAAATTAAGTTGAAAAGTCTTTTAATACATTTTTATGTTCGCTTTGGCACAGCCGAAGCTAACGTCTTCTCTTGTTTTATTTTTATGTTGTGTTTTAAACAGTCTCCAGTCAACTCCAAACCTTTTATTACATATCTATATATGTATGTATATGTGTGCCCTTCTTTACGTACACAATGTCATAATTAATTTCATTTTCAGTCTACTTTATAGCAAGACACTGCTTTGTATACTCTAATAACATATACATATGTATATACATATTAGGTTGTCAAAAAAGTCTTGCGGTATTTTCGGTAGTTGGCGCTGAGAGCGTGTAGTTCTAATTTTATTCGTCGCATCGGGTCATGCTATACCTTTTTGGAAAGCTCATTTCATGTGCTTGATTGATTGTAGTTTCTTCAAGTCGTTCGAGAGTTATAGCGTCGCAAACATGGAGCAAAATAAAGAGAAAATACGGCATATTTTACAGTACTACTACGATAAAGGCAAAAATGCATCTCAAGCCGCCAATAAAATTTGTGCAGTTTATGGACCCGCTACAGTTTCCATTTCCACCGCACAACATCGGTCAAGAGCTGGGCATGAGTCATCAAAAAAAAATTTTATGAACAATTGAAAATTCAATAAAAATACCGCAAGACTTTTTTGACAACCAATATATGTGTATCAAAATGTCATAACTTCATATTTCAAATTGTCATACTTTTAGTTTACTTGCTGTTTTATATGACTAATTTAAGCTTAAGTGCCTTTTACTCATAGTATATAAATATTATATTTTACAGATATGCATATGAAATAGAATATTATCGAGATTTAAGATAAAGATAAAAAATAATTGAGGAATGCGCCGCGACCTTAGGTCTATTGTGCCCTCTCCTAACTCACGGGGACTCACTTAGCCCCAGCATATTGATGAAGTCCAATATCCTGCTGGGTGCTGACGCCTACAGACTGCAACGCAGTCGATTAGCAGGTGTTCCGGGGTTTCAGGCTCCCTGTCGCAAAACCGTCAGTTGGCGCAAGATGATAGGCCCATATTAGATAAATTTCTTTTCTACTTGCAGTGGCCGGTGTAAAATGCGACCAGCAGCCTAAATTTGTCCCTTGGGAGGTTTATTATCGATTTGAACCTCTGCTGGTTATATCCCCCAACTAGCAGCTTGGCGTGTCGCATAGCATGCGCTCGCTGCCAATGCCTTTCCCTGCACACTCATTCTTCCTTGTGGAGCAGCTCCTTCACAGTATGGGGACCCACCCCAGTGAACGGTTCGGGCCCAACCATATTGGTGGATTTGAGATTTATATATGTATGCAAAATTTTATATTGTATTTTTTTTTTAAAGTCCGACCCACTACAACTAAACAATTAGTTTGTATATCAGTAAATTACGATCGCTTGTTTAAAAATCAATTCAGCACTTGAAGGGTTTTTATATTTTTTTTAAATTTCTTTCTTTTTTGTCTGTTAGTCAAACTATGATTATGTTCATTAAACTATTTTCAAAGATAGCACAACATTGTTGGTACACATACTAATTGCAAGCAGTGTAAGAATTCATGCAACACACAAGTTCAAACGCAGCGTTACAGTTTTGTGAGTATTTACATAAAAAAAAAAAATCATGAATTTATGTATTGTATATAGAAGTTACTAAGCAAATATGCACACACCTACACACCTACACATGCATGCGGTAAATCAAAAACAATAAATTGATGACACGCAGTATTTATTCTATATCTATACTTAGATAAAAATGAAGTTCACTAAAAATTATTTCTTAACTTTATGTATCATATGTTGTTGCTGTTATTATTATTTTTTATTTTTTTTTTTGTTATTTTGTATTTGCTTATTATAGTCTTTTTGTGTTTCCGATCAATCAAAGGGGTTTTGTAACGATATATTATATGTATGTATGCCGCCTAGTCGAATTTAGTTATACATATGCAAAGTAATGCTACCCGATATCTATCTATAGCTATCAGTGAGAGCTGAACACAAGCGAACAAAATTTGAAACTCACATCCAGTTATGTGTGCGCTGTGTTGTTTTTTATGCAACAGCTACTGTTTCCTGTTCTAAATGCAATGCGCTTGCGTTTTGTAAAATCTCTGAGACCAGTTTATATTGCACGATTATATATACACATGTATATATTAATTATATTATATATATTATTTATAAGTATTTATTTTCTGTTATGCACACATATGTTACATCAAATTTATCGTATTACATTCTATTTAAACATTTTATAATTGACCACAAAGAAAACGCTTATTTGCGATCTACAATATCTGGTACAATTCCTTGTTTGTGTCTGTTTTCAACGGATGACTAATAATATACCTGGCTTAAACGTGTCCATGGCTTTCTCACACAAACTCACTACATAGTCTACTTGTTGTTGTTGTTGCTTTGTCGGTTGGAAACGCTTTGTTGCTCTTGGCGCGCGCGTTAACACACGTATGGTATACTCGCCGCGACGCTGTTGCCGTACTAAGCAAAATGTTGAAACTACTTTTTCCTCTAGTGCCGCCGCTTTAATACCCACCCAAAGCCAGTAAATGCTGAGTTGGTGGACAGGTATTGAGGAGGTTCTCGCAAAATGCCAGCGTCGATGCTTTTTTTAGTCTTATTAGTTGGCTATAGTCTCTGTAGATGCTTTGCACACATACATGTGTAGGTTGATATGCTCGTGAGTATGCAAGTATGTGTGTGTTGGTGGCCGTATTGAGTTCATATACCCATTTGTAGTGGCAGGGAACGTCGTTTGGTTAAAAGATACGGAGCGCGTCTATCTACTTCCGAAAGTACAAAAGAGCACCGAAACTCTGAGAGATAATGATAATGACTGATAACTGCTATAACTGACAACGCATAAAAATTATTTCGGAAATCACCTGTACACTGAAAATTATTATTTAAAGTCCAACGGTAGTGCCTTCACGATCGACGAATATTAAGCTGAAACCCAAAAAGGAAAGGCTTGATATATTCTATATATGTTAAGCCTTGAAATCCCCTACCAGTTGTTCCGTTGTCAGGCAGGTAGGCTTTCATTCAAGAGTATAGTATTTCTCCCCTTAGTTTTCTTAATGAAGTAGAAACCTTCCTCTACCAAAATCAGCTTTCAACTTTCTAAAAGCATTCAGAACGTTTCTTTAATGCTTCTATACATTAATTGCCTCATGGTGAATACAGTTCTTGGTTTCATCTTATTTGAATTTCCTTGTTTTGTACACGTAACAATCCACAAACTGCCTCATCCGATTCCGTCAGTTTAGAAGTGAACTTTTCTTTCTAAAGAAGACTTGCTTTCCGTGACCTCCTGTAGTAGGACGAATAAACATTAATTCCATAATTTTGAATGGAATTGGGAAATTTAAGCCTTCAAATCCATACATTTTAGTAAAGTCGAAAATAGACAACCTCTTTGGATGGATATTTTCATTGGCTGCGGTCTTTTGAGTGACAGGTCTCAATCCCAGCATAAAATCCCACCCTAAGTAAGGTATGGTAATATGGCTGATGTTGGCACCAAAGATGACACAGGATCTCACTTAAACAGCGTTGTGATTCCCAAAAAGTTCTAGATATGAACCATCAGAGGCTTATAGTTCGACTCTACGCTTTGAGCCTACCACGTTTTGTTAAGGCGCCTAATTGTTTCAGAAGAATCTCGTAGTGGCATAAGTTTTGGTTTTTGATCAGTCCTTGCCAAGTTTACGTGAGGGTCATAGATCCAACGCTAGAGCGCAAGAGGACAGTAGAGTGTGGATTCACTGGGACCAATCTTCCAAACAAGTCCGATATCAAACAAGCTTGATACTATTAATAAAGATATCACGCACTTCTTAACAAGTCTGAATGCGCTATCTGTGAGCTCAGGGCTAGTATTGCCTGCTTGTATTCTTGGGGGCCCCAGATGTTCCCAAGCTTCCGAATCTTTCATGAAACTAGCTTCTCTGCTATCGCTACCTACATTTCCAGTACGTTTTCTTCTGCCGACTTCTACTGGTTGACGCAGTCTAGTCCTCTCAACCACCTCATACCATTTAAACTTATAAATGACGGGAGAGCAACGTATTCCAAGGCATTAACTGAAAGGAGGCAGTTTCAGCATTTCTGCATGGCAGGTGGAAGTCCATATTGAAGCGACCTGCCCACCTTACGATATCTTATTTTCGCATCGTTCAGGTTTTTATAGCGAGCCGTTTGGTCCGAAGACAGATATAGTGAGTTATTTTAGGGTGGAAATAAGGACTTTCTTTAAAAAGAGTGGAAACCTACGAAAGAACAATCTGTATTTCAAAACATGATCTCCTTTGGACACTTTTCGCCTTGGGAAGGGTTTAAATTTGAAACGTTTTTGCTTAGCAAAAAGAGAACTCAATATTAAACGAAAAATGTTAATTTTAAATTAAAATTGCCTATATGAATTACGAATTAACAAGTTACAGGCGTCAGAAAATCTCGAAATAATGATGACGCATTAACACGCATAACACGTCGTATCACGGATACCAATAACATTTATAAAATGAAAATCAATGTGGCAACGCTTATACTTTGACATTTCATTTATTCAGCCAATGAGAAAAGTAGTGTGGTGAATACGTTCACAATAAATATTTCTGATGATAAAAGCAAACGATTCGGCTATTATCTGTTCTTTGCTCATAATCGCGAAGTCAGTAATATTTGTGATTTTATTTCCCAACTATAATGCAAAATGTTTTGAAAAAAAATTTGAAAGTGTAAAATACTAAAAAAAATATTTTTGGACAAATCCGTAAAATATTGAAGAAGCCTAATAATTTGGGTATTTAATAAGTGCTACGCAAATTCAATCAACAGCGAGCCGCTGCTAAATATCGATTTGTGCAAGTAATTTTTCGCAGTTGAAATTTTCATGGACAAACAATAAATTTCATTTCGATACATAAGATTTTGCAAATATATAGAAAAGAAAAACTTTTGGCTTTTAAAAAAATTAAGGGCGGACAAGATTTTGCTATATAGTATCCCGACAACTTATATTAAATTAAGCATTGTATACTAACATAATCTTGTTTGTGTGTTCACGACAGGGCGCTGTCGAGAGTGTGTAAACATATTTCTGTATGTACGGCCATATATAGTTAGTGGAATTTGTATGCATTTCATATATTGTGCTGACCTCCGCTGCATCCAAAAAAGAGCAGCTAAAACATCACTGATTCGACTATTATATTGAGACGATACTAGTTTTCGCGGAGTTTTGCTGCCGTGTGCAAGACCGGCGGATACTCCGTGTTATAAAACGAAAACATTCGGGTTGAAAATTACGATGGCGCAAACAAAACAGCGTAGTCCGCAGCACATCTTTCGTATTAAAAGGTTTCATCACCTTATATTTTTTGCTATATTGACAAATCTTTTCGCTAGTAGTTTGCAGGTGAGTACACATAAGTACATTGTAATTTAATAATGAACGAACATTCTAATATACAGATGAAAATATGCCATAATAGATAAAACTTGTTTAAACTTTAAACTGTCCAATTAGTGGGTTTCGCAATTTTGAAGTTAAGTGCGATATATCTGCAGTTATTAGTAAATTTATATGAATACGCGAATATATGTACGTTAAATGTTGTTTATACTATATAACCAAAACTGTGTACATTAAGCTTTTTTAAGGTTTTAGTTGTTTAATGTAAATGACTCGGAAAATGGCTTCCATGATTACGTTATTATGGCTAATAGAGCGTGTAATTTTTTATTATCATATGGGATTTAATGCAAAAATGAAATACTACCTAAATTGTGTTGATATCATCTTTATTTATTTATTTATTGACAAATGAAGTATAGGAAAGTGATGTCAACTAATAGTTTAGACATAATTGTTTTATTTGGTTAATACAATGATTATTATGATATAGACTTAATTATGAAAATATATAATTATAGGGAAAAATTAAGCGATAAAATCCATTTGAAGAAAAAAACGACATTGGAAAAGCTTTTTATAAGCATAATCTTGAATATGATTAAACAGTAAAATACCCAGAATCAAAACATTTCTCCATTTGGTCTTGGTTAGGCAAAAATTTACGGTATATAATCTTTACATAGGCATGTTTGAATAAGTAGAATATATATAATTAAATTTATCATAAATTGCAAAAGAATATCGTAATAATTAACAAAAATGTTCGACAACGATTTGTGTTATCCATTCCGTTATCTCTCCATTGAAAGAAAAATGTCCGCAGTTTCTTTTTGCTTAGCCTAGAAAGATTATGGAGTATGGAACGAATGACAAAAAAATATCGTAGTAAATAAAAAAAAATGGTCGGCCACGATTTTTAAACGATATCTGTGCATTATAGCATGCATTTCGTTATCTTTGACTATAAGAAAAAGTTTCCGAGGTTTATTTTTTATGGCTAGAATATAAGAAATGCTATGGAGCATTCAATGAATCTTATCTTTTGCGTAGAAAGAAAAGAATGTATATTTCATAAAGATCACAAAGAAAAAGCAATGGTGTTTATATTGCAATATAATTGTGACTAGTGAGCCTTTAAAATCTTTCTCAAAAAACTCCAAACTATGGGAATATTATATTACACCTACAGGTTCGTTATTTTGTCAGTGTATATAAACTTAACGAAATTTGTAACTCCCGAAATTAAACGTTCGAGAACCTTAAAATAGATATATAGTTCATGAAAACTTCTGTTTGACTTACGGTTATTTATTTTTTTATTAACCAATAAAGAATATTATCAAAGTTAAAAAAAATTAAAGGCAAACGTGTCATCTTTTCATCAACACGATTGGCTAAAGAGTTTGTTATCCCTTCTATCGTTTATTAAAGTTTCGTGCTGGTTATTTCGCTGAATAGTCGATTTTTTTTTTTTTTGAAAATTGCTTACAAAACTATGCTTGAGTTGGCAGAGGATAAACATATTATCATATTTCTGTCCACTGTTAAGTTGAACTAAAAATGTGTCGTCAGCAAATGCCCGCTTGAGCTAAGGTAAATCCAGTGATTTGTAATTCTTTCATTGCGATCTCGAAAATTTACACAATGCAAATGCTAGATCCGATTTAAAGATTTCTGTCAGCAGTTCTGCTGTGAAGAAATAAATAATAAACGTTTATGTACGCAAGAGTTTGAATCTGACTACTGAATAATGTATACAACTAGGCTGGAAAATACATTCACCTTCATTTAAAATACTTATCAATGCTTGAAATTGAAAAAAAAAACCTTGCATACATTTATTTATAAGAAAGCATTTTCTAACATTTTTTTTGAGCAACCGCAATCTTATA